ATTGTTTTTTATTTATTTCTTGTATTTTTTTAGTAATGAAAATATTTCTGTTGAATTTTAGAGTCTTAGTTTTTATCCTTGTGGTATCGAAAAGGGTATCGAGTATCGAATACTTTATTTAGTATCGGTATCGAGTCGAAAAATTTAGTATCCTTACAACCCTAATGACGGCAGAGCTGAAGGGGGGCACCATGTCTGAGCAGTTAACATGCTCGGTGTCCTGAACACAGGAGCAGTCTTAGAACGCAGTACTTTCCTTCAAGACATTGTTTTCTACTTTTGGCTACTTTAAAACGCCAATGAAATGTAAAATAATAGCAAATATAGGTGATATGTTGAAATTCAAAAAGAGATTTGATCCTTAACAAATGGGTGCTATAGAGTTTGTCCGACTGGAGTTGCCATTAAAAGGGGCGGGGCCCCGAGCAGATCTGTTAGCTTCACCAGCTTTAAAAACCTGTTTCACTGATTTCTATTTTATTTAGCTTCATATATAAATGGCACAATAAAGCAGTGACTGCAGGTGGTGTAAAGAGGAAACAAATACAGAATAAATAAGAAAAAAAGAGGGAAAATAAATACAGAAAATATTATTATGGACACCTAATATATATACAGATCCATAGGGTTACATTTAACTTGTAAATTACATTATGTTTGAACTGCTTTTTAGTTTCCAGGTTCGCTTATTGGGCTGTTTAGTTGAAGTTCTTTTTCCCTCTGAATCAAATCAGGTCTTCGATCAAATCATTAGCTGTCCAATCACAGCTGACTGGCTGCAGCGTGGAGCGTTTTCTAGTATTCAGATCAATCCTGAAAGCTAGCCTGCCTCAGCGCATGTTGAAACGGTGACCAGCCTGGCTAAGAACGAGTCCAGCTTATTTTAAAGTCAGGGTTAAACCTGAAGTTATCTGGCTAACCCAGTAATCCTGCTTCCTGGTTCAGGCCTCTGATATTTCTCTCCAGGATGGAGTCACAGCCAAACAGGAACAGACCAGATGAAGCTACTATGAGAAAAAGCAGAGAGAGCAGATCGTTAGAGATTGAACTAACAGATTCTGCAGAGTGGGAGAATAGAGATAGAATGAAATAGGGGTCCCTATGTCCTCCAGCAGTCTAAGCCTATAGCAGCAGAACCCAGAGCTAAGGACCACAAACTCATCTCAGCCTTCTTCAGCTTTTTCCTAAAGATTGTGTTGTCATCCCTACAGGACATCAAGGCCTGCGTTGACGATCTGAACAGCCTCCTGAAGGTGGAACCAAAGAACACGGCTGCTCTGAAGCTGCTGCAGGAGGTGCAGAAGAAGTAAACGTGCATGGATAACTCTGCAACCAGCCAGTGAGACGATCCATCCCCTCCAACCCCACGTCTGATCTGTTCACTCCTTACTGGGCCAACACAAAACGCAGCAAGAGGTTCTGGAGACTCTTCATGGATGAAGAGGTGTTCATAGTTTGGTGACGGAATGGTTGTGTTACCTCGGTTCAGTGTTAATGTTTGTTTTTTACGCTCCAGTAAATTACTGTCGCATCTTTTCAGAAACAAAACATTTTATTCTCACTTCAGGCCATAAAGCTCAGATTTACTGGGATTGATTGGATCCAAATTAACGGCGTCAGATTTTCAAACATGCAGAGGAACGTCAAGCATCTTTTTATTTAGCCGCTATTTTTTTCACCTAAATGAATTTCCACAACCAATAAAATAATCTGCTCAGATCGGTCCGGAGAGAAATTTGTTCCACTATCATTAAAAGCAAAGAAAAAATGGAACTTAAAAATGTTCTGAGAGTAATTTGTATATGAAAAAATGTTAGGAAGTATTTTTAAAGTTAGATATTTTTCTTTAAGATTTTTTTCCTCCCTTTCAATTTTTTCAGAATTTGAATTAAACTTTTCCAGATTTCTCCCTCTGAAGGGAACCAATAGAAATACTGTTGCTAAGGTCCTGGCAGAGCAGACTGGTTTCTATTGGTCCGCTCTCAGACCACCCAGAACTGTGAAAACGGTGAAAGTCATTAAAAGGTTCTCTTCCCAATAATTTTAAAATGTGAGGAAATGGCAAACTAAAAAAGTTGATCACTTTCACAACCTTTGATCTGAAACGCACTCGCTTTAAATTTCTTTTTTAAACTTAATTTGCTTTTAATAATTTTGGAACGAGTTTCTCTCCGTGGTTCTGGTACCAAACTTCACTACTCTGGGTTCTTCAGTGACCCAGATGGACCCAAACTCATGAGGAGCATCAGACCAAGAATCCGTAAATACCCGCTCAGTTTGGGGAACGTTTCCAACCAGTCTGCCGCCACGTCGCCGCCATCTTGAACACTGATTGTTTACATTAGAGACTATGCAGTTCAGGATACAGCAAACTATTAAACACCTCAATAATTATACGTCAGTGAAGAGTCAGAGGTCAAATTCATAAACAATTTCTCCAAATAAATGGCTTTAAATGGGAAATAAAGGATCAGAATCAAAATATTTCAAAGCAACCAAAGTTTCAGCCTCTTAAAACAGGATTTTCCCCAAATCCCAAAGACTGGAGAAACGAGCGGAGAGGATCGTTTTCACTTGGAAATTATCATTCATATTTTTCACTCATCAGTTTCTGTGTTTTGAGGAGGAAGCTGATCCTCTGACATTAAAGTTTTGTGTTTTTCATGTAATAAAACAGGGAACCTTGTTCTAAACGTCCCTATTTGCCAGATTAGTTTCCTACCGGGTCGGTCCTTTGCTCCTTTGAAGGACTCGTTCTGTAGCCGTGACTAAACCGCCTCCTTCACAGAGCCCAGCTCCTGTTGGACGAGTCCTGAGAAGGAACACAAAGGCGCTGCTTTAACTAGCTGGCAGCTAGCTATCAGCTTCAAGAAATCACAAACATGCTAACACAGTTAGCTCTGAATCCGGCCATGACGGCCTGAAACTGGGCCTCCTTTGTGGATAACAAGCAGCTTAGCACCACTATGCTACTTCCTGTCACCTGACTATAGCCTCCCTTACACAGGCAGGGGACGAGCGTACTGGTAAGACGCGGCTGAGCCATTAAAGCAATTTCTTTTACAAGGAAGCGCTGTTCTGTTTCTTCTTTTTTTTCCTTTTTCTATTTTATTGTTATTTAGAAAATTTCAAATGTTTCTGATATATAGCGATTTGTCTCCATCCTGCCCAAAGTGCCTGCCTGGTTTTTCATCTGCTGCTTTGGATTAGTGACTGCAAAATAAAAA